TGTGCAAGGACATAACAAGATTACCATCAATAATAAATAACTTCTATTTTTAATTTTAAAATTTTTTAATCAAATTAATCAAGCAAAGATCTACATAAAAATAAATCTATGAGGAGCATATAACCTACTTAATATCAAAGAAAGAGATGAATAGAAGAGTATTTTTTAAATTAGGTGTGGACATTTTAGATATAATGTCATATCTTTTGGACTCACAAATACACCAACTACTTTTCAACATCTTATGAATGACATTTTTTGTGACTTTTTTGATGATTTTGTAGTTTATTACTTAGGCAATCTTCTAATCTACTCTAAAAATATAAAAAAACATGAATTTCATATTGTTATATATTACAAAAACTTAGAGAGGTAGAATTATATACTAAGATGGAAAAGTATGTATTCAAAACTACTCAAGTTAACTTCTTAAAGTATATTATTTTCAATGAAGGTCTAATGATGGATCCAAAGAAGGTCCACACTAATATAGATTGAAGGATTTTAAGAACAATAAAAGATGTGTAATACTTTTTAGGCTTTGTAAATTACTACTAAATCTTTATGAAGAACTTTTTTTAAGTGGCAATTCCATTTATATCTTTAACTTATAAAGACAAACTCAAGTAGAGTAAAGAAGTTGAAGTATCTTTTGAAGCCTTAAAAATAGGATTTATTTCAATACCAATCTTATATTGCATCAATTTTTTAAGGCATTTTTCATAGAAATAGATGCATTAGACTTTGCTATAGATGTTGTTTTATTATAAATAGGAGCAAATAACAAGTTCTATTCAATAGCTTTTCATTCTAAGAAAATTTCACCAATTAAGATTAATTGTGAGATCTACAACAAAGAGCTTCTTGCAACCATGGATTTGTTTCAAGAATAGCATCATTATCTAGAAGGCTCCTCAAGTCCAATCACTCTTTATATGAATCATAAGAATCTCAAGTATTTTATATTCGTATTTATTTTGAATTGTTGCTAAGCTTGTTAAAGCATGTTCTTATAAAGATTTGATTTGAAGATCAGCTATCAACTCAAAAAACAAAAAGATTTGTCAAATTTCTTTTTCAGATATTATTATTTCGTATCAAAAGAAAGAAATGCATCTTTTAATCAACAAAAAATGATTCTCTTGAAGTTGGAGTATTTTCACTTTTTAGCAATAAAATCAACATTGATTGTTGATTCAACCTTTGTCAAAAAAATCCAACCAAATATGTCCTTTTATTTTTTTTATTTATGATATTAAAAATAATATTTCTAAATTTTATAATATTTTTAAGTTTTAATTCAATAGTAATCTATTCTATTTTGAGAGACAATTATATATTCTAAAAGGTGAAGCATGGTTATATATTCTTCAAGCTCATCACAACTTTCTAGCAGTTAAACATTTTAGATACAACAAGACTTTGAAGCTAATATCAAAAGATTTTTGGTAGCCTCAAATGTAGAAGGTAGTCAAATACTTTGTACAATTATTTAATATTTATTCAAGATCCAAAATTCCTTGTCATCAATCTTATGGACTTTTACAACCATTATTTATTTTAGAATAACTATGATCTTTTATTTCTATGGATTTCATCATGGATCTTTTTTATCTTAGGTTTATATGATTTTATATTTATGATAGTAAATTATTTTACCAAAATAGCATATTTTATACTATGTATAAAATCTATTATATATAAAGAAACAACTAGATTTTTTCTTGACAAAATCTATTATTATCATGAATTGTTCAAGGATATTATATCAATAAGAGGACTCAATTTGTATTTAGATTTTGGACAACCCTTTTTAAGATTTTAAAGGTGGATATAAAGATCTCTTCAATTTTTTATTTTCAAATTAATCAATAAAAAAAAATAGATGAATCAAGTTTTATATTAGTATTTGAGGTGTACCATCAACTATCATCAAGATGATTAAACAAATTTTTTGCTATTGACAAAGTTTACGTATAATAATTTAGTAAATTTTTCTATTTAACAATTACTTTTATTTGTCAATTATGGTTATCATCTATAATTTAATACTTTTGACTTTTCAAAAGTTGATAATTCTATGGCAAAAGATTTAGCAAATAATTTGTCAAAGCTACATACAACAATAAAAGCATAGTTAAATGAAGCTCAAAAACAATAAAATATTAATGTAGATGTCTATTATAAGGAACAATCATAATTTAGTATGAATAAAAAGATATACTTATTTTATTGCAATATCAAGGCTACTTGCCTTAATAATAAGTTAGACTATTGTAGGTTTGGATCTCTTCTTATTTGTAAACAAGTCAATTTTATTGCTTATCAACTACATCTACTGAAGTCTATAAAGATCCATTTTGTATTCAATGTATCTCTTCTGAAGCTATATAAGACAATGAATATCTCAAGAAGAAGAAAAATGTCACTTCTTCTTATAGAAGTGGATAATAATCAAAAGTTTGAGCTAGAAGAAGTCTTAGATTCAAAGTAGTGCCAAAATAAATTGAAATATCTTATTTAATAGTGCAGATATGATATTAGTGAATGTATATAAGAACAAACAAAGAATCTTGCAAATGCAACAAAGGTGGTTGAAGTTTTTCATTGATGACATCTATCAAAATCAAGATGAATAATAGCAAATAATGAAATACCATGATTAATATATAATAAAATAATGAAATACCATAATAATCAAGGAAGGGATTAACATTCACAAAGAGGTCAAATAAAGACCAAATTACTTCCTATTGTAGGTCAAAAGTCTATTGATTCATCAATACTCTACTCCACCTATTTTTTCAGCTCCTTGAAATTGATAAAAGACAAGTTGTCGGCCTCATTATTAAAACTGATGATGTGTTAAGAAATTAGAGAAGGATTGTGTATTTTAGCTATACTTCTCTCTACCAATCAAGCATAGAAGGAGGCCCTAAGTATTCTTCTTATGTTTGCAATTTGTGGATTCACTACATTTTGTTTTGTTTGTGAAAGATTTTAAACCAATTTATGATATGACTATGATATCACTTTTTGTATGTAGAAATGTGTAGCTCATGCAGCAAACAAAAAAAAAAAAAAAAAAAAAAAAAAAAAATGTTGACCTAATAATTCTCTTAACTTATAAAAAAATTATAATATATATGATTAACCTTTTTTTAATGATATAAAATTCGAATATTTTATATAATATTAATTTATGTACACATTATTTACTTAAAAAATTGAATTGGTTTTAAAATAAGTATTGTGTATCAAATTGTAACAAAATTACTTTTTGCATGAACATGTATAATATAACTAAATTAGAATAATTTTTTTATAAATTTAAAATAGAATATATAGTTATTGATCAAATTATGATTTTATTAAACTAATATATAAATGAAATACTATGAAGATGTATACCACTAATAGGTGAATGAAATCACAATATTTTGAAGAATTTATTTCAAATCAATAGAATCTAATTGAAACAATAGATGTATAATAAAATAATGAAATACCATGATTAATGTATCATGATTAATAAATAGATGTATAATAAAATACCATGATCTTATGGTGAAATTTAGTCACTTTGAAAAAAAAATTATCAACTTAAAATTAATTTTGCATATTTAAAATTAAAAACCATGTATCTTATTTTAAATAAATATATCTATTACACAATCATATAAAGAATTGTTACATGAACATAAATATTTATTATTTAGAATATATATATATATATATATATATATATTCTGTAATTGTAGATAGATTTTTTGCAGCATGTTATTATTTGTGAAATATTATTTCATCAAGAGAATAAACCTTGTAACTTTAAAATTTATCATGTTGTGAACCATAATCATTTAAAACAAAATTACCAAACAATTGTCACAAATTCATAAAATTCTATCCCTTTTCTTCTTTCTTTTGTTCTAAAAATATAACATTCCAGTCCATTATGATTTGTCAGTTTTTTGTTACTCAACATTGACACACAATGACTATGTTTTTAAAAAAAATAACACAACTTACTTATAGAATTAAATTTAACTTTCTTACACTAAAAATACAGTGATCCTCCAACCATTAATTTCCACATTCTTAACGTCAAATACAAATAGTTTTGAAGCATTATGTTCAACAATTATAATACAGTGGTTTTAGACCTAATTCTTAAACCTTGATTGTATTCCATGATGTTGGTACCCTACTAAATGGACATTCAAATATTCTACTTAAATTTTTTTGAGGAAGTTTGAATAATTAACACTGCGTAAAAATAACCATCAATAGATGGTTAAGATTGTTGTCGATGGCTCGATGTTTTGATCGATAACACTTAAGAGAAATAATAAGACGATATACATTAAAATCATCGTTTCAGCAACGTATTAACTTTTACAAACATAGTCAACTGAGATAAAAACTGGTTCGCTTAGAACATGCTGTCAACCTGAAAGAAAGAAAAATAAAGGAAAGGAAAGGAAAGAAAAACCAACCAAATAAACAAACATATTCAAAAATTTAAACAACTCTGAACGCCTGCAAAGTACAACAAAAATACGGTCGCAAATTCAACAACAAACCACAAAGATTCAGATTCCGAAGAAACAAGAAAACACGCTCGACGACGGATTCGACACACTCGCGCTCATCTTCCAAAGGACCTGCGGTGCAATCGGAGAACGCAACCTCTCGCACAGTGAACTCTGCGCAACGACCTCGGCCAGAGAAGGGAAGAACAGGGGGGGCAGGCACGGTGAGGGGGGAGACTGAGTGAGTGAGTGGCTGCCTCCATGAAGAGGCAGCGGTGCGGTCTTTCGCTTTGCGCTTTGCGCTTTGGGAGGGAGGCACGGGCAAAGCGGCGACAAGGACGCGCGAGACGGCGAGACGTTGAATGGCTCCGAGGTGGGTGTGTGGGGTGGGGCAGCTTCGATGCTTAGCGGGGCAGTTAGAAGGCCAACAACAACGGCAACGACGTAGAAGCACAGAGACACACAAACAGAGACGAATTGTGGGTGGGACACCAGCTGGGGATTTTGACTGGACCCCTGGACCCCGTCAACAACCCGAGCTCGGGTGCTGCCAGGCCCCGCGGAGCCGTGCACCGACCCAGGGCGGGTGACGTCACGGGGACCGGGTCCGCCCAGCGCACACCGGCGTGGTGGAGCTCTGCATCGCCTCCTGCTGTCTGCATTTGCTCTACCTTTCCCCTCGCGCGACCTCTGGGCTTGTTCTAGGGTTGCGGTGCGTTTCTCACCGTAGGTCGCTCCTCTGTCGTTCCTCTTGCGTTCCCCCTCTCGCCCTGTTGCATCTCACCCTTTCTTTCGTCCGTGATTTTCTTTTTCGCCCTGTTGCTTCTCACCCTTTCTTTCGTCCGTGATTTTCTTTTTGTTGTCGGTGTTGCAGATTGCGTTTCGAGAGTGTCGGAGTTGGTTTTTGAGGCGGAGATCAGCGGAAACGGAGGGTAGGGCGATAGCGTGGAGAAGGGGAAGCGCAACAGGAGGGACGACATGAGTGTGCCTCCGATATCCTCTAATGGGCAGCTGGACACACAGATTGCTCAGCTCATACAATGCAAACCGTTATCCGAGGTCGAGGTACGTCCAGTGCTGCCCCGTTGTTGTTATTTGTCGAAGTGGATGAGGTTGTCCTGTCGCTCCTCGGGAGATGTGGCTTGATGATTGAGTGAGGGAGTAAAACTTGTGCGTTGATTCGATGGACTCATCTAGAGTGTGGTTGGAGGTCGAGATTCGTTACTGCGGCTTGTTCATGGTGTATGGGTGCTATCGAAGTGTGGGCTTATCTTAGTGAAGGGCGCCGGTGCGTTTTTCAACTTGTTGCGCACGCAGCTATTGTGAATTAAAGAGTTCCTTTCACTTGTATGTTCCAACGGATGGTTCATCATTTCTTTGTTGTGCACTCGTGCTTTGAACTTCCTGCCATAGTATGACGTCGATGGCATACCTGATGTTTGTACTGGCGTCCTCTTTGGGGACCTGCTACATCTCCGTGCATGGGAACTAGTTTCTACCAATGAGCAAGTGAAAGTTCGAGCTACTGAGTTCGTTTATTCTTTTGTTTTTCTCTTTTAAGACAAAGTGGTCACTTCGCTTAGTGGTAGGTTTGGACCGTTATGGAGCATGCTATTTGAAGCCGGCTGATTCGGTCCGTACATACGAGTTTTTGCAGACTAGAATTGAAAGTTGAAATTAGTATCATCTCGTGGCACATTCACTCAATAGTGTTTCTCCAACTTGGAGAAGACGTCTCTGAGATTATATCCTACCAGCCGAGCCCTCCTCGCCTCCATTTTTGGAACCCACAGAGTGGCAGATTGAGAGTATGATATATTCCATTCCCCCATTAGAACGTACTTTTCCGTGTACGTGGCGTTGTTTCCTATTGAACATATGTTTTTCTATACAGTTTGACTTGTTTCGGTGGACTCTTTTCCCGGTCGACCGAGGCAGTCAACATTTACGAAGACCTGGAACTTTCACTCTTCTATGGTTTAGGTCAATCGACAGTTTGACTGGCCGAACATAGTCTAAAATTTCGAATTCGCTCACTTTTTGGTGAACTTAATTTTCTCCTTGTCGCAAGGTGGCCCCTAGCGACCTGGAAGGTTGCGTTTGAATAAGAACATGGAGTTTTTGATGTGGGGGTTAACTGTTGATTATGCTTCTTAACAACTCATGCCATTTCTGAATCCTCTCCTTTCCTGGCCGGACTACAATGGTTGTAAATCTATCGCTCTCGCATTCTCTGTTTTCCCTCCTTACATCAGAGTGTTTCCTGGTCTTTTTCATTCATTAGAAGCGTGCCCTATTAACAGGGGCTTTGTCACAATAATAATGATAATATTAACAAGGTCCTGCAGAGTCTACCTTGTGGATCTATCCTGACCACATCTGATCCAGACATCAACATTTTGCGGTTATCTGATTTTTAATGTTAAAAGCTTCTGGAAGATCCCAGTTTCCCCTAGGATCTTAGAGATTTTAGAATTTGTTCGATGGATATGTAGACCGAGAGAGGATTTGGAGAATCTTGTTTGAATTGTTGATTTGTTTTGCAGGTCAGAGGACTATGTGAGAAGGCGAAGGAGATATTGATGCGGGAAAATAATGTTCAGGTATTTATTCTTATCTGATGTTTCTCTTCCTGTATTCATTAGGATGTCCTTTTTGAAGAATGTTTAATAGTGGTGCTCTTTTTAGAGCAATAAGAGGCGACCACTCCTCGATTGTTTCAAACTTCGTTCGAACTGATGATAATTTTGAAATGCAATTTCTAGAGAAGTTTTATGAATTAGTTGAACACGTGCAAGATACTGTCCCGATAGAATTGGGCAGGTCATGCTTGGTCAGCGCATTTAGGACATGCTTCTGTTTCAAAACTCTGAGATTTACCTGTTGTTTTTGTTGTTGTGGTGGATGATTACAGCCAGTGAAGTGTCCAGTCACAATTTGTGGTGATATTCATGGCCAGTTTCATGATCTTGCTGAACTCTTCCGAATTGGAGGAATGGTCAGGCCTCGTTCAACCACATTCTTGTTATTACTTAAATTTTAGCAGTCCTTAGGTTCGCTGACAAGTTGCCTTTGAAATTCAATCATGTCCTTGGCTTTGACCTGTTCATCAGCTTCGCGTTTAGTATCTTGTAGAATATTTTATGCTGACTGAAGTTTGTTGCCTCGTGATAGTGTCCAGACACCAATTACTTATTTATGGGAGATTATGTGGATCGTGGTTATTATTCAGTTGAAACTGCTACAGTGAGTATTCTCTTATCCAATTGGACCAATTTTATGATTTCACTCTATTTTGAAATTTATTCTCCTTGTGTTGGTATGTGTTAGCGAAGGTTTCTTGATTGCTGCTGTACTTCCATAAGCTGCAAGATAAATTGGTTTTGCGCTTGTGGCTCTACGTAATAGTAACGTGTTCTGACATTTATTTTTCTGGCAGCTGCTAGTGGCTTTAAAAGTACGATATCCTGATCGTATTACCATTCTGCGTGGCAATCATGAGAGTCGGCAGGTGATTATTTTAACTAATAACATTTGCGGAATTCCTTTTCTTTTTAAGTTGAATCTTTCGTGTTATCGTGTCTGAAGTGGTTTATTTTCCCTGTGTCAACTTGTTCAACAGAAAGCTTGAATCATGAAAGTGCCCTCAATACATTGATGTTTTTATGGTGTTTGAAACAGATCACCCAAGTGTATGGTTTCTATGACGAGTGTCTTCGAAAGTAAGGCCACAGGCTCATGCGCTACTTTTCGTGAGCTACATTGAGATCTTGTTGACTTTTTTCACTCAAACTGTCAATCTTTCAAGTTAGCAATTATAGTAAAGTCATCTGCAATGATCTTGTAACAGACGGTCAGCTTGTAATCAGAATCATATCTGAAATTTATGCCCTTCTGCGTCCATTTCATCAAAACATCTAACCGTCCCAACTTCTTTTGAACATAGGTACGGAAATGCCAACGTATGGAAGATCTTCACTGACCTGTTTGATTATTTTCCTTTAACAGCACTCGTAAGATATCCTTTTCCAACTGTTCGCTCTTGCAATTTGTCTTCCAGTTAGTCGGTGGTAATTTAATTATTAAGTTCTTATTCTAGGCATAAGAATAGAAGTTGGATTTTCTTTAATATTGTGGACTGATTTAAGCTTGTATTTCATGAATAGAAAAAAGTTCATTATTATTATAACAGAGGAAGTTAATTAATGTTGTAGTTGGAATAGGTTTTGCTTGTTTAGCTTCATTATCTTAGTTTTCTCTTCAGCTGATATTACAATCAGCAGTAAACCTTCTTAGGAACTTGGCCACTAATGCGGTTACTGTAATCTGAGTTTCTTTCACCAGGTAGAGTCGGAGATTTTTTGTTTACATGGAGGGCTTTCGCCAAGCATCGATTCCTTGGACCACATTCGGGACCTGGATCGAGTTCAAGAGGTTCCTCATGAAGGTCCGATGTGTGATCTACTTTGGTCTGACCCCGATGACCGTTGTGGTTGGGGCATTTCTCCCCGTGGTGCTGGCTACACATTTGGCCAGGTATGCGGCCCTCCAATGAACTTGTAGAATTTGTGTACCTCTGTTTCTCAAATGGTTTGCAAGAACAAGATTTAGACTAAGACGAGCAATTTATAATAATGTGGAAACACGGCGATAGCTACTGACGTCACTCTGAATGGTGTACAGGATATATCTGAGCAGTTCAATCACAACAACAATCTGAAGTTGGTCGCAAGGGCACATCAATTAGTTATGGAGGGCTACAATTGGGGACATGTAGGTTTACTTTCTTTATAGTTTCCTGAATCTGAGGTTCTAGAGTTCGTTGCTTTTGTTCGAGCATGATATGCATCTAAGCGCTTTTGGCTTTTGCGATACCAGGAACACAAGGTGGTCACTATTTTCAGCGCACCTAATTATTGCTATCGCTGTGGTACGTCCCTTACTCTTACTTTCTTTGCTCGTTGCGGAATCTAGGTTTTTTTACTTGACAACATCTACTTCCAATTTGACTTGATCTATTGGGATTGGTACTTGCAGGAAACATGGCTTCTATATTGGAAGTGGATGACAATATGGGCCACACTTTCATTCAGGTTTACGCTCTGAATATCATCTACCTCGTGAAATAATTTGTATGTTGGATCGCAAGTGGGGGGTTGTGGTAGGTTTTCTGTAGTACAGTTGGTCTTGCATCTAATGTTCTAACTTTTGCTTTTTTTCCTGGACATGATATTTATTTTCAATGGTTGAATGAACAGTTTGAACCAGCCCCGAGACGAGGTGAACCAGATGTGACAAGGCGCACGCCAGACTACTTCTTATAGTGGGACTTTCTGATAGTAGTTTTTAAAGTATGCTTTGAGCTATTTTGGATCGTCTGTAGTCCATGCATTCAATGATGTAGATTTTCCTCAGGTTAGCATGGTGTTACCAAGCGATAGCAGCCTGAATGCTGTCATAACCGCCACACCATCATATGATATGTATTTCATTGAGCGGGCATGCTACTCTGCGCTTGAGATGTAAGCGAGTCTCTATTTGGAGTGTCATTGGTGTCAAGAGTCCTGATGTGACCATTTTTTATACTAGATGTCTGCTGTGTATCGAAGCAATTGTAGAGATAGTTGGTATAACTTCAGAGCTATAATGATGTAGTGGAGTTGCGGTTTAGGGTTAAGATGGATCAGCGGTTAGTCTATAATAGTCATTGATTGATCACTCTTATCGGAGAGTAGCTTCTTCCGACGTGGGATTTATTAGCGTCATCGTTGAACCGGACCCATGTCGGGGTTGGATTATGCTGTTAATGGAATGACTGTACAGGCAGTTGCTGAATATTAAGTGATGAGGATCCCGTCCCAAGGACCCTTCATTCTAGATCCATATCACCGGTAGATCATTGTCACATTGTATAACCTGCTGGTTGGTTGGTTTGTAACTTTGGCAGAAACTTTCTCTTGTTGTGTCGTGTGGCATTCAGTACTGTTAGGTGTACGTTCCATTTGTAGCAAGCGTCATCAGTCTGGTCCATGTCTTATTGCCCTTGGAGGACCTTCTTTTCGGCCCGAAGTTGCCACATAAATCTCAGCCTGCGGTAAAGTCTCTGGATCTACAAACCTGTCAGCGTCTGACTGGTTCTCAAAAGCTGCTACATGCGAAGGATCGATACAGCCCAATAGTGTACCGTTGCTTCGATTGGAATATGCTAAAGGTTGTCGGTAGCTGCAATTATGATCATGTCAAATGTGATGTATGGAAGTATGAAAGCCTATTTGAGGAGCAATACTGAAGAGTGCTAGGATTCCCGAGTATCGTGCCAACCGTAACCTCCACGCCCTTGTGAATTTTGAAACTAGTTGGGCACCTCATATTGAACAAACTTGCCATTGCGTCGATCTTTTTTCAACCCACAAACAACTTTGTGGATGACTAATAAAATTTAGAAACGCGCTAATGGCAGTGTATTCACTCCTCAAGACTGTACTTTTTTGTTACCACCCTTCGGCTTAGAAACAGTACTGACTCTAATAATCGGATTCTCACTCTGTACAGCTCTTGACATGTAGAGGGCTTTCGATAACGTGAGCGCACCTGGTTGATAGCATGGATGTAAATGAATTTGGACAAGCCAGTTCAACATCTGGAATCATTGAAGCTATGTATCATATCTACCCCTATCACTTCAAGTACCATATCCCAGTTGGGATATCTGATGGGTTGTCTCATTCGTAATCCTGGTCAGAGCATTGTGTGAAAAAGGCGAAGGGAATTTCGATCGAAAACAATCATGTCCAGGTTTGTTCTATCCAACAAACAAGTCATCCTTCCCTGGTAACCCCTTGTAAAGTAGCTATTACGGATGAAGTTAAAAGACCTAACTAATCAAGGGTTGAAGTTTGTTGAGGTTATTGGAAACATAGAAAGGTGGTTGTTGCATCGCTTGTGTAACTCGATGATTTGTTCTACGTCGCCGAAACTGCCTCAGTGAAGTCCAACTCTCCTGCAATATAGCCGAGGTGTTGTGTCCGTAATTTCTTATATTCCAATTGTATGGACTTTGATGGGGAGCGAACTGCTTCAAGCATAGACTGATGCAAGGAAATTCACTTCGCTCTCGGTGACTTTTCAGGTCGATGGTTCTTCTCGTATGTCTAGACAAACGCATTACATCTTCACCTAGTACCAGTTCTTAATGGGTTTTTGTTACTATTCATGAGAATGATATGTAACGAAACATCCTAATGCACATGGATAATTCGCAACAAATCGTTCTAGTGTGCTTTCAGGTAAGGAAATGCCAATATTCGGAAGATCTTCACCGACCTGTCCGATCATTATCCTGACGGAGCTGGTGAGGATTCCTCTTTTGCTCATTACTGGAGATCACAAAAGATACAATTGAAATAAGACTGTTTTATCAAAAATAGTTTTTTTGCATTAAAAAGAAGATTAATACATGTAGGAGTAATAAAATAAAATAATTATCTGGTATATTAATGGAAAAGAAAATTTAAATATTAACTTTAATTTTTTTTATTGAAAAAATTATTTAAAACAATATTAAATACATTTAAAACACAAAAATAATAAGAAAAAAAATAGTTTTCTTTAAAACGTAGCCTTGGTTTATGTAAAAACCTAATCCTGAAATACAAAGTTTTGTTCTAAAATTTTGTCAAACATCTTTCTTCAGCTAAACCACTATGATTTTATTTTCTTCTACAACGATTTACACTCTTAAACAAGAATTTTGTGCAAGTTGTTTTGGTGTAATATAGAAGGGTAAACTTTTTATTTAAAACTAATCACAAATTTTAAAAAATCATTGAGAATATGATAAAAATATCAGAAAAAATATGAGATATCAAACATTAAAGTAAAAATACCACAGTTAGGAGTTAAAAAAATTATCTAGGATTTAAGGATAGAGAATTTATATATACATTATTATTTATGTAAACCTATTTAATTTCAATGATACATGATTCTCAAAAAGCATTGAATGTATATTTTAAAGAATTTTATGAAAAATAATTGTTCTATCAAAGGTGGAGAAGTAAGAAAGGAAGAAAATAAATAAATAAATAAATAAAACATCAAAATCCAGATTGGAAAATAAAGTGGGTGGTACATATGATGAATGGTGCAAAAAATAATTCTAAAAATAAAAAGAATAAAAGCATAGAAGATAGAAAATTCAAACATGGTGTCTGTGTAAAGGTGAACACTAAAAAAATAAGGAAAGAGATGTTGGGCTTGTGATGGGCTTCAATAAATTTTATCTTGTGAAATATTGAATTATTATCTTTACAATTAAACTCCATTGTGTGTATATATATTTCTTTTGCATGTATTTTTTACTTATTTAAAATATTGTGACTTATAAATAGTGTTATACAATATCATGTTTAAAAAATACTCCTGAAAAAATTATTTAATCAAGAATTAAAAAGATAAACTATTAACTACTATTTTAGTATTTTGTTTGAATTTCTTCAAGATAAATTAACTTGTGAAAAATCTATTATTTTTTTAAGAGATTTTATTAAATTTATTTTTGGAATATTGTAAGACTACTTCAAAAACTATCAAATAGATCTTTGTTCTATATTTATTGTTTTTGTATCTTTTACAGTAATGCAATACTAAGAAACAAGTAAAGAAGTTGGTGGTTGAAGTACAATAATAAACATCTATGCTGCAACAAACGATGAACTAAATTCTAAAAAAGTCAAAATGATAAAATAGAATTAGTTGAATACTTATTTAAATAATATCAATAAACCGAAAACTTATAAATATGTAGTTGTGAGGTTTTGAAGTTATTACTCATGACACATTTTCAGAAAGATGACATAGACACCTGCAATAGTTTGAACATGTTCAATTACATGTTGGGTATTTTTAAATATATTTTTAAGTTGATATTAAATTATTAATCGATTCAACCTTAAAATTTCAAGATTCATTAAAAAAAACAAACAAACAAACAAACAAAACAAAAAAAAACAAAAAAAAAAACAAAAAAAAAAAAAGGCAAAGATTTCTGTAAACATTGAGTTTACAAACAAGAAATTCATTTTTGTAAATATGAAAAACATTACTTCTGATCTATTCACAATCTAAGTAAGAAAGAAAGAAAGATATAATAAAAACGGGCTAAAAACAGTTAAAATAAAAGTCAACAAAAGAAACATCATTAAATATTACATTTTTATATTTATTAGTTTATACATTTATAAATACTGAATATCTTTCATTGATTTTTTATATATTTTTTGTTCCAATTTAAAATTCATTGAATGTATTTAATATAAATGTATTTAGCAAAAATTTGGCCACCCATTTCCATGGCCATCAGAGTTGGTTTCAGCTGAAACATGAACTAGTAAAATCAAAAGTTTTGAATCATCGACATGTCAATAGTGACGAAATCTCTTCGTTTATTGCTTCGATGAAAATCTCTTTCTCTTCTCATTTAATTATGCATACAATCAATCAATCAAAAGAAACACAGTTTAATTGTGTGGGCCTGCTTCGCACCGTCACACAGATTTACCCAAAACTTAACCCTCACACAACTTACAACCAATTCAACATCAAGTTCAGAATCAATCCCATTCCAGAAGTTCCACCCATCGAAGCCTGTCGGTGAGCACTTTCCTTAGAAACCCATTCACCGACACTCACCGACACACACCGACACATGGCGCATTTTCTTAACCCCCAAGGCCTACGCAGATGTCATCAGATTCCACGAAACACGAGTGGTCGCATTCAATCAAATTAGACCACCTAGGGAAGCGAAGTACAATCCTGATTGATCAGCATCACCGACACCGGCGCCTTTGTTTCAGGCTACCACCGACACAACACGCTTCGGAGTGTGAGCTGCCCGGTTGTCCCCTCCTCATCCGTTGCAGAGTTAGAATAAAATGCACGCTACTCTCGCAACTCTTGCTTTGTTGTGAGCTTGGTTGCCGACAGTGTGATCTACCGCGTGGAACTAGAGGAACTTGAATCGACCATGGGATTTGGAACACCTTCCAGTTTAGATCAATGGATGCAGGGATCGCGCCCAGAGCATGGGAAGAACATTCTCCCGCATCGACAAGCTTCCGGGGTTTCAATCAGTGGATTTGCCATTTGGGTTGTGCTCGAAATGCGCGTGGTTGGTCACATGGCTAAGCATCTACAAAGCCCAACTTGCAGGTAATCTCCGAGCGCTGAATCTCAGCCCCAACGTGAACCCGGGCTGACTGGAGTGCGTGTGAAATGTAATATATATATATATATATATATATACATGTGTGTATGTTTGTGCGCCATGGTTTTCGAAGAGCTGCTGCATTGCGAGGATCCTGTCTGTAACCATTGTCTGTTCTTCATCGTCCCCACCCAAACTATTTCATGCTGGCTTTATATATATCTATCTGTATATCTATATATATATATATATATATGGAGAGAGAGAGAGCGAGGGAGAAAAGCATACATGTGTGTATGTATATATATATATATATATATATATTGATTCTTTCCATTTCAGTAGTAGTGTTTTGCGGTGGTTGCTAGACAGTGTGTGGAGATCATCACAATCTTGTTCTCCTGGTTTGAACTGGATGGATTCCGGTGCATCTTTCTTACTTTCATTCGTTTATACAAGTATATATAAATATATGTATGTGTTTGAATAATGAAATAAAGGTGCTTCTATTGCCCAGTACAACCTCCAAGATTTCAACTATTGATATTAAAGAATTTTGTCTTTCCTTCTAAAGAGAGAGTGGTGCAACAGTGCACAGAAAGTATCGTATCATATCAAATGTATATGTATATGTATGTATATATGTATGTATGTATATATGGTACATGTTGCATATGATAATACTGATTTTATACACGTGCTCTTGGATTCTCATTGAATAGGAACAAAATAAATAAATAAATAGTGTAGCACACGTTTTCATGCATAGTCTGTGTTTAGACTGACAAAAGGGAGTTTGGTGATAGGCTTTGTTTAGAATTCGAGAAATTAATTATGCCCATGATTCTTTTTGGCTAGGTTGGAACTCTGGGAATATTCCATTGTATACATTTTTATTTTTAGTTTTATATGTTTGATGCCACGATTGTTTGCTTGTGCCACTTTTAATTCTTTGCACAAATATTGGTTTATTATTTGTATTAGCATGGATACAAAATTTATCTAGTGTACACATATAAACACATTATGCTGTTCATTAGAATGAAATTGGAAAAAAAGAAAAAAGAGAAAAGACCAGGAGTGAGTTATTTAAAAAAAAAACTATGATCGTGATATTAAATACTTTAATTGCTTTTTGTTTTTCTTGTTTTATTTATTTATTTATTTTAATGAACGAAAAATCTTCAGGTATTTAGTTGTATGTAATAATCACATTTCAAACCAGACAAGGATTATTGACTGCTTGAATTAAATTAATTACAACCTCAAAGGAAGAAACACACAAATATTTTTTCAACAAAAAACAAATAATGTAGATGTCATTTTGTTTTACAAGAAAGCATGCTCATCAACCAAGCCTAAACTTAAACAGCTCCACATCAAAACCCCAATAAAAGAGGACACATCAAAAACATTTAATAAAACAATAAAAAGAACAAAAAATCTCAAAAGACATGTATCAAAGAAAATTACCTGTGTGTCTCAAGTGGAATGTTGGCAAAAATCAATGATCGTGAATTATTACACACATAAGAACCAATGATCACATAGCACTCGTCATTTTTCTCATATATATATATATATATATATATAGGGAATGTTAAATAAACTCAAGTTTTTACAAAATCGACCAACCCATTCTAACCATCATGGAAAAAGACCTCTATTCATCAAGGGGTGGGTCTATTTAGTACAAACATGGGGTGTATTTACCATTGCCCTTATTATATTCATACACTTTCCTTCTTTCCTTTACTATTTATATATCATCCGAAGGGAACGATGGGGCACAACGACGGGGTCCCATTCACACTGCCAGAAAAACCGGAAGACGAGGGGCAGGGAGAAGCGTTGTGCCATTGGAGGAGAGCGAATCGTGCTGACATGGCATTTCTTTGCAAAAGAAGAGGGGACTGGGAATCCCCGCACAATGTGAAAAGGACCCCACGTCGGAGGGAGGACGGGCGGATGGGACGAGCCGCGATTCCGCAGCACTACTGGGTGGGGACCCAGCCCGCGCCTCCCTCTCTCTCCCTCTCTCAATGATTAATGGGTTCGCGCGGGTTAGGACAATGGGCACTTTTAAATGGCGAACCGAAAAGAACACGTTCCCGGATCATGCGAACAGCATTCCCGGCTCAATATTGGGGCCTAGAAAGATTCTGTCACCGCCTCCTCCCCCAGGGGAGGGAGCGCCTGGAACGCCGGGGATCGTGTGGTTCTCAAGGTTCCATGTGGTTCCCAGGGTGGTTCCATGTGGGTTCCCTTCCTTTCCTGGGCCGCCAGGAGCGAAGAAGGGCGGAGCCGGCGATCCTCGTCGAAGAGGGAGGGGGGGGGGGACTGACCTGCTTCCTTCGTTGCTTGCTTGCTTGCTTTCAGGCATCGGAGACTCTGGAGCCAACGGGGCCGGATGATTCCACGCGGATTTGGCGTTTGTGGTGAGGAAATCACACACACACACACACACACACACACACTCTCTCTCTCTCTCTCTCTCTCTCTCTCACTCACACACAGCGAGAGAGAAGCACGTTGATTGATTCATCTACTTTGAACCCGGACAGAGCAGGGAGGGGTTCGGAAATTAATATATTGTTGCGGAGGGGGTGGGTGTTGTCGGGAAAGCGAGGAGGGGAAGGGAAGGGGAAGAGGAGGTTGGAGATGCGGTAGGATGATGGATGGAGGCTTCAGAGGCGATGGTTGTGGAGGAATGGGGATTTTTAAGGTGAGAGAGGGGGGATTGCAGATAAGTTTATTTGTTTATTTTTTTATTATCTCGGTTTGCGGTGGAGTTCGTCGGAGGAGAAGGATGTAGGGATTGATGGTCTTTGTTGTTGTTGTTGTTGTTGTTGTTGTTCTCTTTGTATTTGTTTTTTTTGTTTTTTTTTTTTTTTATCAGTTTTTTTTGGAGTTTGGTGGACTTTTTAGTGAAGAGGGAGACGGTGGTTATGTGTGAACAGTTACGAGGTGTGATGTAGCTCACTGGGTCTGGTTTACTACTGTGGCCATGGAGCAGGGAGGTCACGGAGGAGCCATGATCGTGGACGAAAGAGTGTTGTGAGGAGTTGGAGTTGGTTGGGTTATGTGGGGTGTTTTGATCCAGGTTTGGGTGGTGATGTATGAGATGTGTGAGAATTGTAGGGATGTGAGAGAGTTGGAGGCGGAGGAACTGGGGAGAAGTTTGTCGTCGTGATGTTTTAGCGGGGTCGTGATCTTGTGTGCTGAAGGTTGAGGTCGGAGGTGCGGGTGTGGGGAGCGCAACAGGGCTTTTTCTGGTTCTTTCTTCGCCATGGCGGAAGGGGAGAGCCGGGAGTACCCCAGGGGTCCTGTCGCTCGAGGCTCCCGAGAGGATTTTGTGGAGGCCTCTACAGCTGCATCGGACGACAATGACTATAGAATGCTGATCGTGGGGCACATGCTGCCGTTGACGGCATCGCGCGGCCCGGACGAGCAAGGGTGGACGTTCACCTGGGACGAGGATTCCCTTGCGCTGCAGCTTAAGGCGGGTTTGCCCAAGGATATGGAGGTCATTTACATCGGTTGCCTGAAGGTGGAGGTTGACGACAGCGAACAGGATGAAGTGGCGGCAACCCTGCTTGAGAATTTTAATTGCGTCCCTGCGTTTTTGCCTTTAGAAGTGCGGTCGCGTTTCTACCATGGTTTTTGCAAGCAGATGCTGTGGCCTCTTTTCCACTACATGCTACCCTTGAGTCCCGAGCACGGGGGCCGCTTCAACAGATCTTTCTGGCAAGCGTATGTGTCCGTGAACAAAGTGTTCGCCGACAAGGTCATGGAGGTCATCAGTCCTGATGACGATTACGTGTGGATCCATGACTACCATCTGATGGTGTTGCCAACGTTTTTGAGGAAGCGGTTCAACAAGGTTAGGCTTGGATTTTTCCTGCACAGCCCATTCCCGTCGTCAGAGATTTACCGGACTCTACCTGTGCGAGACGAAATTCTGCGGGCCCTTTTGAATGCTGATCTCATCGGGTTTCATACGTTTGACTATGCCCGGCATTTTCTATCATGCTGTAGTAGAATGCTGGGGTTGGAATATGAATCAAAACGGGGCTACATTGGATTAGAGTACTACGGTCGAACAGTCGGGATCAAGATTCTGCCAGTAGGTATACACATGGAGCAGTTGAATGCAGGGTTGCGGCTTGCTGATACAGAATGGCGGATTGCGGAACTTCGGGCAGAGTTCAAAGACCGAACGGTACTTCTTGGTGTGGATGACATGGACATCTTTAAGGGCATAGGCCTGAAGCTCCTTGCACTAGAGCAGCTGCTTCGGCAGCACCCGAAAACACGGAATAGGGTTGTGCTTGTGCAGATTGCGAATCCTGCAAGGGGTCGAGGAAGAGATATCGAAGACCTTCAGAATGAAGCTTACACGATTGCTCAGAGAATCAACGATGAGTTTGGGAATGATGACTATCAACCGGTTGTGCTTCTCGAGAGACCTGTCGCACTATATGAACGAATTGCATACTATACGATTGCGGAATGCTGTGTCGTGACAGCCGTTCGAGATGGCATGAACCTCATTCCGTATGAATACATTGCCTGTCGGGAGGGTAGTCCCGAGCTGGATGCAGGTGTGGACCGCGGCCCATGTCCTGCCCCCTTGAAGAAGAGCATGCTTATAGTGTCAGAGTTTATAGGGTGTTCTCCGTCTCTGAGTGGAGCGATTCGTGTGAACCCATGGAATATTGAGGCCCTGGCAGAAGCCATGAATATGTCCATCACTTTGCCAGACATTGAACAGCAAATGCGGCACGAAAAGCATTTTCGATATGTAAATACACATGACGTGGCGTATTGGGCACGCAGCTTCATGACTGATCTTGTGCGCACGTGTAAAGGTCATGCACGACGGAGGTGCTATGGTATCGGTTTTGGATTGGGTTTCAGGGTTGTGGCTCTTGATCCTGACTTCCGGAGGCTTCGAACGGACCTTATTGTGTCGGCATACAAGAAGAGTACTAGCCGAGCCATTTTGTTGGATTATGATGGCACCATGATACCGCAGGCATCCATCAACAATCCTATGCCCACTCCGGAAGTGTTGTCTATCTTGAACACACTTTGCAGTGATCGCAAAAACTTCGTGGTCATTGTCAGTGGTCGTCCTCGACAGATTTTAAACGAATGTTTTTCGACATGTAAAAGACTTGGTCTTGCAGCCGAGCATGGCTACTTCTACAGGTACTGTTAACCCTTTCTAGGGTTACTAGCTCATTACTTGTTGAATGTCCTCATTTCTTGATGCTCAGAGATCTCCTTATATTCATTCGGTGTGACATACTTTCTGCTGAGAGAAATACTTGCGTATTGGCAGGTGGCATCAGGACATAGATTGGGTGACTTGCAGATATCAAAGAGATGACTTCGACGAGTATGAGAATGATCGTATGGAATGGAAGGAGATTGTGGAACCAGTGATGCAGCAGTACACAGAAAGTACTGATGGGTCCTACATCGAGGAGAAAGAAAGCGCAATGGTTTGGCATCACCGTGATGCTGACCCAGATTTTGGGTCGTGGCAAGCAAAAGAACTTCAGGATCATCTGGATAGTGTGCTTGCAAATCAACCCGTGTCTGTTAAGAGTGGGGCGCACATTGTCGAAGTAAAACCTCAGGTAAAGTTCTGTGCATCACTTTTTTTCTAGCATGATGTGCAATGATGTCCCGATCAATTCTAATTTCGTATGTGGGACCGAGCAGGGCGTGAGTAAAGGGGTGGTTGTGGAAGAACTACTGGCGATGATGGCTCTGAAGAGTGCTGCTCCAGATTTTGTGCTGTGTATTGGTGATGACCGATCTGATGAAGACATGTTTGAGAGCATTGCTACGGTCACAGCTCGCTCAGGCCTCGCTGAGGTGTTTGCGTGCACTGTTGGTCAGAAGCCCAGCAAGGCAAAATATTACCTAGATGATATTGCCGAAGTTATCAAGTTGCTGCAAGGAATCGCTGCTGCGTCGGACCCTGGTGCTACTCCAGCCAGCTTACCTACTGCCACGTCTTCGCAAGTTTCTTTGGAGACATCTTTGCACATCTAGGCGTCCTAGGAGGAAGTCTTGTTTTACATGCTATGTATATGCTTTTTCTTTTATTACAGCTCATTGTCAAAATTCAATGTCAAATCCTCGTCTTTGGCAGAATCGCTGTCTGAAGAGGGTCATATCTTTGGCGCTTTGTCATTGGGCTACCTCACTTTTGATCTTTCTCTTTCCTTATTTTAGAAGCATTTGTATTTTTTTTGTTTTTTTTTTCGTGCTTGCTGTGCGTCCTTGGGAAAGTGCTCACTCTTTCCTGATTGCTGAGGCAGCGAGGGCATTTCCTCTAAATAGCTGTTGCGCTGTCGTAGCCTCGGCATGAGATTGGAAGGCTTTTGTTAGTCGTGAATCTCAGGTTTTCCTTCACACTGTTGTGAGGCAGCTGCGATGCTGTAGTGGACTTAATTCATAAAATTCTCTGAACCCATGCTTGTTTAGTGTGTCGTGTGATTAGTTTTTAGGCCTTGGTAGGCTTTTACTGTTTGTATCAACTTACTTTAGACTTGTTTTCTTTCTTGTGACTTGATTTCGCCTTTGGTCTCGGTAAATGTCCCATTAAAGGTGCTCTTGGACCCAAGTTTGAAATCCTGGATATCAATGTAGAGTCGGATAAAACTTAGTAGATAGTACAATAGATTCTCCACTCTATATGGTATTACTATTTATTTATTTATTTATTTTTGTCTTGTTGCATAAATGTATTACTTTAGATCATTACCACGCACTTAGTACCTAGTCTCACAACACCTAGTTGCCCAATCAGTTGTTTACTTAGGTCAAGTAAAAACTTAGTTGTCCAGCCATTTGTGTGTAAATTGAATAGTCACTTGCCTCATTAGAGAATGTGACCATGCCAAAAACAACTTGCCCCAATTAGAGAATAAAAAGGCAGATGCAAGTGCAGCAAGTCCAGCAAACATTTGGTACAAAGGCCTCGTTTGATGTTTGTAACAATTTGATGGTTAGTTCTAATTTTCACTCATTATCTGATGATATATTTTGGAACTTGAAGTCTTTAGAGAGTTATTCTTTTCAAAATTTGTCAAATTGTTTGTTTTAAAAACATTTGAGTATAAAGTCTATTTGAATATTTGTATTTTAGCTCCTTAACTGAAAACATATTATTTACAAAGAAATGAAAGTCAAGTGGATAAAAAATATTTTAAAAAATATGTTTCATTTAATTATTTTTTGTTTGAAATATTATTTTATTCAAAATGATTTGATTAAATGTAATTTTTTAAAAATAAAAAATCAAAGTTTTTCCTTCAAAATAGTATGTAATAAAATCCATTGCCTCTTATTGAGTATATTGTTCCAACATTCTAATCAATTACTCCATCAAAGTATGCACTATACAAAATATTGATAGCTCAACTAGCAAATATCTACTACATTGATCAATTACATAACATGGTGCAACAAAGTATCACTAATAGCCAAAAAAAAAATGGCTAAATATTATTAATCCAATAAACCATAATGTACATTTAAAAATGATAATCTAATTTTATGGTATCTTTGAAACTCTAAAATTTGCATGAAAAAATTTGATCATATGGCATGGCTCTTGTTGCATCAAGTTAGTGCTGCCTAGTAATTTAGTTCTCTTCATCAACTAAGATCATTACAATCTATAAACAACCATTGTTAATGTGGCTAAATTAAAATATTAATATCTAAAAGAATTAGATTCTATCACTGTGCCAATACTATTATAATAAGTATTTGAAAACATGGACAATTAAGATATGGCAAATTAAGTCCCTAATTTCCAAATATAACTTATTAACAATATTCATCTTTCTTCACCACCATCCATGACTTTTTATTTAATTCAAGTTGATATTGCTATTTCAAATGCCCAAAAATCACATCTATATGATTGGTGGTGCCTTTATCTATAATGCAATTTGAACATGTCCAAATCCACTTGTTAACCTCTAGAGCCCTAGCGTTACTATAATTCTTACCTACATTGCATTAATTTGATCACATTTTGAAAATCATGGCACAAGGACTCTAAATAGACTTTATAATTTCAATCTACCAAAACCAATTCATATTTGTTCCAAATCTATTACATTTTTCAATTGCACTACAGGCATGTTCTATTTTACTAGTACTCGAACCATCTGTGATGCAATTGGCTTTATATTTTCTAGTTCTTTTTCTTCTTTTGTTTATCTTATAGTAGGTGATTTGGAGAAGATGGCACATTTGTCCTCTAAGAAAATTTCAAAGTTTTATGTCCACAAGACATTGATTCAATGGAAGTCGCACTCCAATACTATCTAGACTAAGAAGACAAATTTGTGGAAGTATTATATTCACCTTTAGAATAATGTCAAAGTCCAATGGTGCAATGAATTTGTCCAAATAATTACTCTTGATGAGGAATATCACACATGTATTATCAAGAGAATCAAGGTGAAATATTCACCTTCCTATTTGAATCTATTTTTTGGCATGGACTTTAAAAGCATTGTTGCATGGGACAAAACTACTTGTAACTATTCTTGCTCAAACATCAAACACTTTGTAAATGGAATACATTATAATGACTTTGGATATGACATCTTCAAGTTTGGACAATGACATGCAGAGCCTACATTTACTCAACTCTAGATATATTAAATACCATTTTTTTCCATAACAATTATAATCACATTCATGGGGATCACATGCAGATATAATTAATAGTGTGCAATGACAAAGACATCAATTAGGTTATGATCATTGACAAATATCTCTGCATTGAATTGCACCATCTTAGTTGCAATTTAAACGCCAACAGTTCCATTGGTTCTTTCTTCACCTTGTATATCCATCACTATTTAGTCTATTATTGTAAATATAATATACTACCTCTATTAAAATCCGTAGTTGGTGTATAAGAAAAATTATGCCAAAACTACAATAATTAAAATTAAGGTACAAAGAGATAAAGCAAAATAAAATAAAAAATAAAATATCCTAGATATGCAAACAATGCAAGTATAAGGTAGAAACATTAAATCAATTCAATGCAAAAAAACCAAAAATAATCCAAGTATTAAGAGTCTACAATAAGCCAAAACCTAAAATATTTTATTCTTTTTTAAATGCTTAATAAAGCTTTCTTAAACAATGATTCATATATTTTTTTTTTCCTTCTTGAAGTCAATGTAGACCATGCAACTTGACTTGTAGTAGCTAATAAGATTATAGAGCAATGTATAAGGTATAATGGATTATGCCACAAAGTTTTTTATATTACATGTTAGGATTTAGGAGCAATAATATACCATAGATGAATATGAAAATACTATTTGTAAGCTTTAATTGTCTTTAGCATATATCAAATACAAGTTTGAAGAGGTCAAGGACACAATTGTAGTTTACAAGGCTACTCTATACATCACATATTAAAATATTGCAACATTAAAAATATCCAACAAAATGATTAGACAATGCCACAACAAACTTCTTGCCAAAAACGCACAATTACAACTTGAGATATATGGGGCTAAAAATAAAGAGAGATGACTACAAAGAAATTAGAGCAAAAGATGCAATAGATAGAATAAGATACATCTCTCTTTCCATTACAAAAGCAACTTCATAAAATTTTGAAGCCAATTGCATCAAGTGGATTTAAGAAGTTGTATGCATCATTGCTTTCAACACAATATAATTAGCGGAATAAAGTTTTGATATTTAGCACATCAAAAAAGAGGCATTCATATAAGAATATATCAAAGATGCAATGAATATGTTGAAATTTTAGCTTGTTACAAGGATGAGTAGTCTTGATATTACGATAAAGTAATTATACTTTTTCATCGATATTGAATTGTGGTTGTTCTTTGCAATAGGCATCCATATTAATTTTTTTTCATTCTGAAGCTCCTTTTAACTATGCCGTTATTGTTGCATGTAGTTATAATAAACAATTTGCCTAATCTTTTGCCATAGGATTATGAACTTTTGAAAAGTCAAAAATATCAAGTCATGGATGATAACCATAATTGATAAAGAAAGGTATTTATTGAGTGGAAGAATGTACCAAATTATTATGTGCAAACTCTACCAATGGTAAAAGAGTTGTCCAATCATCTTGATGATAGTTGATGGTACATCTTAAGTACTATTTCAAAACTTGATTTATCCATTCTATTTGTCCATCAATTTGAGGATGAAAAGCCAAAGAGAAATTTATATCCATCTTTAAAATCTTGAAAAGAGTTTTTCAAAATCTTGATATAAATTGAATCTCTATCCAATATAATATCTTTAAACAATCTATAATAGTAATAGATGTTATTATGAAAAAACTTAGCTGTTTCTTCATTTGTGATAAATTTTGTATATGGTACAAAATGTACCACCTTCATAAAATGATCTACTACCATGAATATAGAATCATATTAACATAAGACTAGAAGATTCGTGATAACATCCATAGAAACAAAATATCATAGTTCTTGATAATGGATGTAGAAATCTATAAGATTGATAGTAAGGAGTTTTGGATCTTGAACAAATATGACATGATTGTACAAAGTCTTTGACTACCTTATACATTTGAAGCCACTAAAAATCTTTCAATATTAGCTCCAAAGTCTTGTTGTATCCAAAATATTTGGCTATTGAAAAGATATGACAAGTTTGAAGAACTTTTAATTGTACTTCACTTTCTAAATATATAATCATATCTTAAAATATAATAGGTTATTTTTGAACTTAGAAGTATCATCAAATTTAGAAGAATTATTCTTGATATTATAGACAAGGAGATCAGAGGACATATTTGATTGAATTTGTTTGACAAAGGTTGAATCAATAGTCAATATTGATTTTATTGCTTAACTCTGAAAATACTTCGACTTCAAGAGAATCATTTTTTATTGATCAAAAGATGCATCTCCTTCTTTTGGTGTAAGATAAGAACATCTAGAAAGGACATTCGACAAACCTTGTTGTTTTTTGGATCAACAAGTGATCTTGAAATCAAATCTTGATAAAGACAAGCTCAAACGAACTTGGCAACATTTCAAAATACTTGCGGACATAAAGTACTTGAAGTTCTTATGATCTATATATACGGTGACTGGACTAGAAGCACCATCTAAATAATGACATTATTCTTGAAATGAATCCATGATTGCAAAGAACTCTTTGTCATGGATTTCATAATTAATCTTGGTTGTTGAAAATTTTCTAAAATAGAAAGCTACTAGATGGAATTTATAATCTCTTTCTATTTGTAACAATACTTCACCCAAGGCAAAGTCTAAGCATCTATTTCCATAAAAAATGCCTTGGAGAAGTCAACACGATATAAGTTTGGTGCAAAAATAAATTCTTTTTTTAAAGCATCAAATGATGCTTCGGCTTCTTTACTCCACTAAAATTTGCTTTTATAAATCTAACATATAAGT